ATGGAAAGCATTCCAGCTCTGAGTCCACAGCATAGCCCAGGCTGAAAATGGCTTAGCCTGCATTGTTGACAGGCCAGGGAGAAGAGACCGGGGGGCATGGACCCCGGAGAACCACGCTCTGTGTGCTCCCCTTTTCCTTTGTGTCAGTATGTGTGCCAGAGTGAAAGAAGGATACGATCGCAGGCAGTTTGGGAGGGGAAAGTTATCAGAGAATGCAGAAGGGGGAGGGGCAGAGGGGTCTCACACATCTCTCCATGATGCAGATGCTTTGAGGCAATGGATAGAAGATAAAGGAGTGAGGGGCATAGAAGATAAAGGAGAGAGGGGCACACTGCAGTGCTTGGTCACGGTCCCCCTCCTCTCTAGGCTCCTGAGGTATGAGTCACAGTGCACACACAAGCAGGAATTCGACTTGAACAAGCATAATTCGGTGCGTGTGGCTGCTTCTAAGATCTGCTTCTCCTGAGAACCTGAAGTTGAGTCTAACAGGGTCCAGTTACATACATTTAACACTTGAAATGATCCTTTCAACTTCAGCCTTGACTATATTTCTTTAAGACTTAGATGAAAATCTGAACTGATAGTATACAATAATCTATGTGAAATTTACCAAAGCCTTAACATTCAGGCACACACGCCCAACCAACTAGAAATAATACTGAGCACAGTTCTGGTGTTAGAGTCAACCTCTCCTAACTTGGAAATTGGGGGAAAAAAAAAGAAAAAAGACCCAGGCAAACCTAGCTAATGGGATAAACCTTTTCTTCCATCCTTGTCTTTGTTTGTTTGTTTTACAGAAGGAGAGAAAGAGAAGAGAGAACCCCAAGCAGGCTCCACACTCAGCACAGAGCCCAATGTGGGGCTCGACCCCGTGACCCTGGGACCATGACCTGAGCCGAAACCACGAGCTGGACGCCCAGACATCTGAGGCACCCAGGCGCCCCTCTTCTGTCCTAGTTTTATGGCATTCATAGACTGTCTCTCTCTCCACACTAGTCTGATTTGGAAGTCACATCTTTATTTTGAGGCTGTTATTCTAATTGTAGAGAGTTTAGCTGTTTAGAAACAGTTCAGTTTATCTGTTTATAATTGGTCAGATTTCATGTTTTAAATAGATACTGATGAAATGCAGTTCCCTACCTGAGGCTACCACGTTTCCCAAGTGATTACTGCACAGATTCATACAACGGTGCCGTGTCTTCTTATGCCTGCTTTGTCATTTCTCACGTTAGCTATTTCTGGCTGCGCAGGGCTGTCCTTACCTGTTTTTAAGAAAATAACTAAAAATGTAGGCTACGTACTACTCGAACATATTCTCCCTTCTGTCAAAAAGACATTGATTTTATATATTTTTACATTACTATCAAATGTCAGCCCTTACCTTATAAAGATAAGCAGCCCCCCAGTATTTAGATGGTGATTTCATTCCTATGCATAGAGTAAATGGAGTGCTCACCGAGGACATTTCAGCCTGAGAGGTATGGTAGCCTTGGGGCTAAGCCATCAGGGTGACAAAAGTCCTGTAGCCCTTTGGACTGTAGCTTCCCCAAGTCAGAAGAGCAGCAAGTGCAAAGAGTCTGAGGTGAAAACGCTTACGGGACACCTACTCTGTGCCAGACGCTGCCCAGGTCATAAGGATGGACGCATAGACCAGGGGTCAGCGATCCTTACTCTGGTCTGTGCTCTGCACACAGTTTCCTAAATATTGTTTGTGACTTGGTTATTTTTATTTAAGCCTAAGCACTCTATCAAGTTGTTCACGTTTGATTTCCATTCTCTCAAATTTGGGAAAGAGAATTTTTCTTTAGAAACCACTTCTTGGGAGGTGTCTAAACGGTCAACCCTTCTTCTCTTAGGTTTTCATACAACTGTTTTTCTATTTTTTTTTTTTTAACGTTTATTTATCTTTGAGAGAGAGAGAGCATGAGCTGGGAGGGGCACAGAGACAGAGAGAGACACACACACACACATAGAATCCGAAGCAGCTCCAGGCTCTGAGCTGTCAGCACAGAGCCCGACGCGGGGCTCAAACCCACGAATCGTGAGATCATGACCTGAGCCAAAATCAGGCACACAACCCACTGAGCCACCCAGGCGCCTCCTCTACAAATGCTTTTCTAAAGATACCATTTGGTAGCTGCATTCCTCGATTCTTCCTTTGTGTTAGAGCTAGAAAAACTATGTGCAATATGGGTATCATAAAGAAGCAGGGAAAATAGAATCCTAGAATTTGTGAGACAGATGCTTGGAAAGGATTTCCATGAAGTTTTACTAGATTCATATGCTTCAGGCATTGGGAGGAGTAGCTTTAGTAAACATCTAGGGTATTGGTGTCTGTCTCTAACTCAGATCTGCAACAAAGAAATGAGCTCATCAAGCGAGGAAGTCAGCATTGCAGCAGTGCCATGAAGATATACAAAATATCCAGGATAATTCCTCTGTAGCCATAATATAATGCTAACAGTGTTTAAGTGTAATGGGTATTGTACTCCTTGAATGCATACTGTAGAATTTCAAATACATTAGCAGTGGTCTTTAGGTTGATAAAATCTTGTTGCAATGATACAAGGAGATTCTTTATTTTCCATCTAGCAAGTTCTATGACAGAGTCTCTTAGGATTTTTTTTGTTGTTGTTTTGGTACAAGCTCAGCAGTGAACCTTATGTGCTTATGAAATTGCAGAATGATGACAGTGTAAAAAGGGTCAAGTCAATACTAATTCGATGTAGAGTATGCATGATTGCCCAGCAATTACCAATTTGAGTTGACTTATTGATTCAGTTTTGCATATTGTAATAACACTATTCCTTGTAAGGCAAATATATCTGCATTGTATATTTAGACTTGATAAAATTGGAGGATCCTAGAAACTGGTTTCAGGATACTTTTCTTTTGATTTAGGGAACTGTTTACACCTGAAGAGAATGGTACTTTTCATGAGAGAAAGAGAAGTAACTACGTTAGTCACACACACACACACACACACACACACACACTCACACACACACACACACACACACACACACACACACACACACCCCTAAGATCCTTGAAGCAAATATAGTTTAAGAAAAATTATTATCCTGTGAACAGTTGAATCCTTGAGATGCCTCCACATCTTTAGTTTCTTTTCTGGATTTCTCTGATACTTTCTAAGGACTCCTAAATTGTGTTAATATTTCTTTTTATATACTGCAAAATTGCCATGCCTGTAATCAGTTGTTACCCTCTAATTATTTATCTTTCTCTCCAGGTTTCTGGCATTAAGTCTGAGACTTAACAAGAATCAATTAATTTTATGAGTTCCTTGTCCTTAAGAACTAGCAATAAGCATTACATAAATGCTGTTTATTAGGAAGGGAATTTGGCACTAAGAAGTACTAGTCCTGATAGAAAATGTAAAGCACTGAAATGAAAAAGGAAATGATGGGATTGCTTAGGTAATATATTTACAGATTGTTTTTCCATATCACCACACGATATTTCTAATTCAAATCTATTTTTGACAATGTTTAAAATTACTTCTGCTCGCGTAAGTTCATTTCGTATTTTTATAAAATAGATACTAGGCAGGCTTACGTTTTCTGTAGTAATATAAAGTCAAGCCGTTTGATGAAAAAGACAGTTCATCTACTTGTTGAGATCTCACCAATATGAGAAAAATTGCTATGAGAACATTTTGAGTACAGCATGCCTTAAAATGGTCTTGTACTTACTAGCATGGCCTTCACTGCAATGAATTCTACCCGTACAAAATGAAAATATACAATTGAACCATGACCAGTTGCAATTCAATTTTTTCCATTATGGCAGAATTTACTATGGTAAATAAAGATGAGGAAATACTCCTTTTTAGTGGACAATAATACAATTTCACATTGGAGAACTGCATATAGGTGAGAGGCATTTTCTAGGAAGCAAGTTGAAATGCAACTTTAAAACAGTGTTCTAGGGGGTATAAGTAAATCCAGAAATGCCTAATTTGGAAAGCATTTGACTGGAGGTTGTGAAAGGTCAACAAAAGAGAAAAAAAAAATCTAGGACACATCTTGTTCTCACTTGCAAATCCCAGTGAAGCCAATGGAAGTTTATGGAGATATCTGAAAGGCACATTTGGCCTAGTTCAGAAGCTCTATTAAATTAGTATTTTAATACATTGTCCTAGTTAAGTCTTGTCTTTATGGTCCTTTTAACATTGCTTCGGCCAGGGTTCATTCATAGCTAAGTCAGACATCACAGAAATGAGGATAGGCTAACCGGATATTTGACCTTTTATTCAATTTCAGAGATACTTTGACTCCCTAACCGTGCCCCCCCCCCAACACACACACACCCCAAAGCTGGGGAAAGAACCTATGTGAAGAAATTCATGGATCCAAGGCAAACTTTGCAGTTTTTTAATGCCCATACAGTGGGAAGTATAAACAGATGTAAAATGTATAATGCTGATGGTTAGCTTGGAAGAATTTAGTCCTGGAAACAAAACTGTATGTATAGCTGACAACATCTGGTGTTATAAATATTGTTATAAATTTTACTTTATAATACTGAGTGTATAAATGTCATTGTAAGTGTTCCCTTGTGATAAAAGGAGGGAAGAAGTCAGGTAACCTCTAATTTTTTGTGATCTGTATTTACAGAGTCTCTACTTTATAATTTTTTTTAAAAACTTTGTTTGTTTATTTATTTATTTATTTTTGAGAGAGAGAAACAGAGTGTGAGCAGGGGATGGGCAGAGAGAGAGGGAGACACAGAATCTGAAACAGGCTCCAGGCCCTGAGATGTCAGCACAGAGCATGATGATGCGGGGTTCGAACCCCCGAACTGCGAGATCATGACCTGAGCCAAAGTTAGACACCTAAACAACTGAGCCACCCAGGTGCCCTGTGCCTCTCTTCCGGCCTGTCGTTGCCTTAGTACGTAGCAATGGACCTTGTCAATAGTACCAGATTTGGTTTCTGGAAATCCAAGAGCAAAGTATCAGTTCATGACATTTTGGAGTCGGTTCTCAAAGATTTGATTTCCTCAGAGACGTGCATTTTCATAGGCGTCCACCATCAGCCTTCAGACTTGGCTTTGCAGAGAGGGCCGAGGAGCTTCCCGGGACTCGTCTGCTAAGAGAAGAGGGAGCCGGCTGAACAATCTGCTCAAAGCCCAGCCTTGTCTTGAAATGAAAATTTGGACCAGAGACCGGAGCCAGATGGACTGAGGTCCTATCCCCGCTCTAGCACTGGATCTGTGACCTCAGTTACTTTGCTTAACCTCTCTGGGCCTCGGTGACCTGTCCCTAAAATAACAGACACAGTAGTAGGGTTTCATTATTATTCTCTACTAAGTGCCCTCCCTTGGATTTGCCTCTCAGCCTCGCCCCCCAGCCCCCCACTGAAACGATGCAAGGGGCCTGGGCGCGAGAAACGATGCGCAGGCGCAGAGAGAGAGGCTAAGAAGCCCACGGCCCCGTTTCGGTACACACCGTGGGCCCCCGCGCCGGTTCACCCCGATGACTGTGTAACGTGGTTTCTGAGAAAGGAGAGCGAGGCCGTCGTCCCAGCAGCGGGCAGGGCGCACGGCCGCCCCGCGGGGCTTCGGGCTCAGAGCCCCTTCCAGGCGCGGGGTCCCCGCAACGGGGTCAGGGACTGGGGGAGCGTCGGAGGCGCTGGCGGAACCCGTCAGTCACCACGTGTCTCGCACACCCGACGCGCACCGGGCCCTGCGGGGCCGCGCGCGGGCCGGGTTTTCAGCGCCCCGGCCCCACTCTGCGGTCTACACCGCCGGCGCCCGAGGGGCGCGGGCACCGGGCGGAGATCGCGGCCCGGAGACGGCGAGCTCAGAGAAGGGGCCGTCCAAGGGCAAGAACAGGGGCTTTTCGCCTTACACGGACACGCGCCTCAAAGTACGATTCTCCGGAGACACTGGTGGCACAGGGTGAGTCCTGCGCACCCACCTGCGGCCCGAGCACTGCGCTACCCCTGACGTCACCGTTTCGGAAACGACCCAGTACTACCACCAGCAGGAAACACAGCTCTTTCGCAAGCAGCCGGACTGCAGTCGTCGGTGTCCCGTGTGTACACTCGGGGAGGGGGGGGGGGGGGGGGGGGGGGGGG